GGGGGGGGGGGGGCGGGGAAGCTTGCCCTGTTGCCACCACCCACGATGCCACACTGCTGCTGCTCTGTGTTAGGCTGCACGCCACTCGGCCAGCTCTGTGTACTCTGGCTGTGCACCACCTCCCTCCACCCCCCACTCTGTGTCCGGCCGCCGGGGGTACGCTTATTAAAAAAGGTTGAAAACCCCTGTTGTAGACTATCTAAATCAGAGATCCATGAGGTGTCATAGGCAGCTTCATCAGATGTTTCGATTGCCTCACTGAATTCAAGTGAGTTTCTCTTGCTTTAGCTTCATAGACTCATAGATGCTAGGGTCAGAAGGGACCTCAACAGATCATGGAGTCCGACCCCCCCTGCCCTGGGCAGGAAAGAGTGCTGGGGTCAGATGGCCCCAGCCAGATGCCTATCCAGCCTTCTCTTAAAGACCCCCAAGGTAGGGGAGAGCACCACCTCCCTTGGAAGCCCATTACAAATGTTGGCCACCCTTACCATGAAAAAGTTTTTCCTGATATCTAGCCTAAATCTGCTCTCTGTCAGTTTGTGACCATTGTTCCTTGTTACCCCAAGAGGTGCCTGGCAAACAGAGCACCTCTGACCCCTTGCTGTGTTCCCTTAGTGAATTTGTAGGTGGCCACAAGATCACCTCTCAGCCTTCTCTTGAGGAGGCTGAAGAGGTCCAGGTCCCTCAGTCTCTCCTCATAGGGTTTGTCCTGTAACCCCCTAACAACATGAGTGGCCCTCTTCTGGACCCTCTTGAAACTATCAACATCCTTCTTGAAGTACAGAGCCCAAAACTGGATGCACTACTTCGACTGCAGTCTGACCAATGCCGCATAGAGGGGAAGTATCACCACAAATAGATCCAAGGAGGTGATACTTAGCTCTGCAGTGCTGCTGTCTGACTCCACAGGACTGGCATGGAACTGCTAAGCAGTGCAGGGCAGACCCAGTACAAACATGCTAAGCTAAGCAATAACAGCATTTCATTTCAAACCACACCTAGCTCCACAGTCACTGTGGTCCAAGCTGCACTGTGGATTCCCACTGTTTTTCCCTGGTTAATGCAGAGCGTAAAGGGAAGCGGGGCCCTCAGAGCTGCTTAGAGCATGTTAATCCTTTAACCAAGCATTACACCAGTTAAACAAAAATTAATACTTCAGGTAACTGAGCCTTGAAGATTAAATGAAAGGGTATCTAAAGACTTTAGACATGAGCTCAACTTTCTGCATTCCTCCTGAAATCCAGGGCTGTGCAGAGCAGGTAATATTCGATTCGACAGCCATGTCGAATATTAAACCGGGTCCCACTTCGATTTACCGTCCACTTCAAGTCGAAGCGGGCCCGCTTGGACTTGAGGTCGAAGCTCAGTCGAATATTCAAGCTGCTTTGACTTTCCCATAGGCTATAATGGGGAAGGTTGAAGCAGGCTGTAACTTTGGCATTTCTTGTCTGATCTTGATGAAACTTTCAGGAATGGTAGCTCCTGAGGAGCCCACAA